TAGTTTTGTAATTTCGAATGCCACTCAAAAAAAAAAACAAAAATCGTTCACAATATTTACAGATTTCCAAGAGATCCTAACTGCAATAAATTAATAATAACGCCAATGCAGACAGCGGCACTGGGCGATGCCCACCACCGCTGAATGCAGCATATCATACAGCAGATCATTCTCACAGTTCTTCGTGCTCCTCGTGATCCTGCAATAACGATTTTCAAAAAACAGACAGTTACGACAACTGGCAACTTTTGCCAAAAATGCTAAAAAATAAAGCCAGTAACAAAAATCTACTAAAAGAACAACAAATAGGCCTACCTCTTTTTCAACTTCCTTTTCTTTTGTCTCTTTCTCCTTCTTTTCCTCCTCTTCCTTCTCCTTTCCTTCCTCTTCTTTTTCTTTCTCTCCCTCCTCCTCCTCCGTTTTCTCTTCCTCCTTTTCTTTCGCCTCGCTTTCTTCCTCCTCCTTCTTCCTCTTCTCATCTTCCTCTTTCCTCTTTTTCTCTTCCTCTTCGTCGTGCTTCTCTTTCATTTTCTTTTCGCCTTCCATCGTCATTTTTAATGTCTTTTCACCAAATTTCTATAAACAAAAAGATTATACACACTTCTTCATGCCACAATGCAAGAAACTAATCGGATGCAAGGCAATTACTGAAATGAATCAGCAGGAAGGCAAGCTGCAACAGCTGGGAAGAGTAGAAGGCCGGGAAGTCTCGGGGATCATAATGGAGGAAAGTGCGCAGAGTTATTGACTGCAAAGCTGCTAAGACTCGTTTGGAAGTAGGGACTGAAAACAACCACCGGGGTTTATGAGCGGGAGGCGGAGAGGGGGGAGAGGAGAGGGGTCCCTGATGAGTTTTTTATACTCAGCCTGAACTTCCATGCTAGGAAGGAGCTGACAATCTTAAATACGACACCTACAATCTTCCTCACATGAAGAACCTGGTACCACGATTTTCACAATCGAACTCGAATCTAAATGTGAGTGCGTATTGCGCACCCAAATAAATCCGGGTCGAGTTTTAGTAACTATCCGGGGCAAACCTTCAAAATTCACAAAAAATAAGTACATCGGAGCGGATGGAAGTGTCAGCGGGAAGTCTGTGCACGCCTGAGCATAGTTAGGCAATCCTTTCAATCAGTGTGCAGCCCAAGCAAATGGCCTAGTTATCAGGTTCGTTTGAGGGAGTGGAAGACATTTGTTGCTAACCTTAGCTTCTTCAGTACTATCTGTCACAATGATATTATCAAAGATGGTGCCCGATTTCACTTGCCACAAATCAAAACCGATCGATCCAATATCATCGTACACGTATAAATTGTCATCTGGTACGTAGGCCGGATTATCAATTTCTGGATGAATCCATTTACCCTGCAAACGCGAAATAACCCTGTGCATCACAGCACATGTGGGCTTCAACATTGAAGCAACAAGCTAAATATGCAACTGTGGCTGTATTAAGACGGGAGATTAACCTTATAGGCAGGATTTTTCTTTTGCTTTGGCTTCCACTCTCCTTTATATTCTGGATTATCAACCATTGGCGGCTCCCACTCACCGTCCATTTCATCATCCCAATCTTCCGGTTTCTTTGCATCCGGATCCGGGATGTGCTCCGGCTTGTCCCAGTCTTCCGGTTTCTTGTCGTCCTCGTCATCGATGTATTCTCGCTCATCCCAATCTTCTGGTTTCTTTGCATCCGGATCCTAAACATTACTTATTTCGGTTGATCATTGGTCTGATTACAGCGGGACATCCTTATACGCTTTGTGAATAAAAAATACAAATGAAAAGACCCAAGGCAAAACGAACAAATAACTATCTGCCAGCAACATCGAGGAGACAAATTTTGCTAAAAAAAATTGTAAACCCAACGAGGAGGCTGCAAACCACAATACCAGTTAGTCTTGACGTGAGTACACACTCACTGTGCGTAAAAGGTAGGCCTCAACCAATCGTAACAAAGACTGCCAGTGCTGATCAAAAACCCCGTGTAATTAGTGTTTGTTTGTTCCAATGGTCTTGCTCTCTGCAGCTAACAGGCGCTTTGAAGTCTGCTTTCAAGCAAAAATCTATTCCATCCTAGCCAAGTCAATGCCACTAATGAATCCTGCCACTTTCGGGCTCGAAAATATCATCAGCTTGCCCCAAGAAAACCCTTAGCAAAAGGAAGTTGAGAGTTATACAATTTAAAAATTAACTTTAGCCCTTCAAGACACCATGAAAAGCGGGATCTCAAGTATCAAGATGAACCTTAATCTTCCTTGGGGGAAGGAAGTCCCAATCCGCTTCCAATTCACCTGACTCCGCTTTCTCGCCATCGATTTGCACTTCGTACGTGTTATCCGGATTCACTATTAACGTGTAAAGATGCGTCAGCACGTCATCCTGCAACACTTCGTTTAGAGCAAAAGTGAGGGATTTTGAAAACGAAACAAGGAACATAACGAATATATGTGTATTCTCAGTTCGAACCCGAAATCCGGAAAGAATAAACGGGTAGATACAAGAGAATTTTTGATTTTGCTTTTCGTTTAGTCACCGATGCATATAAAGCAACATCGACGGAAAGTGGAAAAGCGCGTGAATTTGACAATTTTTAATGAAAGCAAAGCAGGAAAGCAACGAGGACCGAATGCACACATACCTTTGCGCGGATGTCTTTTTTGATCAAGTGATTTTGGTCTTTATAGTGGAATATCACATGGACTTTCTTTGTT